GTAGGTAATTTATTTCCTGGGGAAACGAAACGGACATCGGGATGACCAGCGGACTGACCGATAAGCGACGCAGCACTGGACAAAGCAGTTGGAAAAGTTGTCATTTGCACAGTTGGAGGATTTCGTAAATTACTGTTGGGCCAAATTTTTTAAGTATAAGAAAATTAATTTCGTGCCGGCAAAAAACAGTCTCTGAAAAAGTTGTCGCATAGGTCGAAGACTGCTTTAACTGATGTTCTTAATTTGTCAACACTTCGGCCGTCATACTGACGAGGTCCAGTTGTGGTGCTGAACAGGAATGTATACGACTTACTGGACCGAAACATCCCTGTTCATTTGACTATTTTTAATGGTTTTGTACTTTATATTATCATCAGTATTCTTATATTATCCTGAAGAAATTTACCTCAGTGGTAAGGGCCTCTCCTCCCTTCCTCCAGTGGCACAGGTACCAATGTTGCAGAAGCCCGGATCTAAAGTTTAAAATAAACTAAACTCTAAAGTAACTCCAAGGAGCAGTGTTGCAACTCTATTCCAAGTTTCTATAGTTCCAAGGTAGGAGGTGGGTCACCCTCGTATCCCGCGTCGCCTTCCTCTCCTCTCCCCGCGTTCTCTCATCGACTCACCCCCAGGCGTCCGTCCTGAAGCTGCCTATGGTCTCACTAGCTGTAACTCATCATCCGAACGATTTCTGCAATTCCTTTAATACGTTCAGTCCTTCTTTAATACTTTCGAAAGAATTTCAAGAGCTGGAACTATGACGAGCGGTCGACATTCACCTCGTTACGACAAGGAGTATATACCGGAGGGCTGCGAAACAGTGATCGATGTACCTCCACCAAAAATGGTGCGAAATGGTGGCGTAAATGGTAATTATAAGGTAATTTTTTTTTTTTTGCTAGTTTTATTAGATTTTTGAAAATTCACAGGAATGAGTTATTCGGTGGCACCAGTGAACAAATTTTTGAATTAAAATATTTTTGAAATCTTGGAATCGAATGTACCACTTTGTTTTGATTTATAATAAATTTTTGCACCTTTCGTGGCCAGTTTTAGTGCTTTTTGAGCTAGATTTTTACTTTATTACGACTTGGTTCCGAATTCCCCAACTGAGCCTTTCCAGCCTATTTTTGCTCCCACTGATTCATCCATCCGTGTTTTTTTGTTTTTGCCTTCACCAGAGCAAAATGAAATGGCTTTTACTCGTTTTGTATTCTGCTTTTCCTTCTCCCACTGTGAACATTTCGAGTAAAGTAATATAATTTTATATATATGTATATATATATGTAATCTGTATCATGATTAGTATACTCCTTTAATATAATTTTATACATTTACAAATATGTCTGTGAAAGTATAAAATCAAATATATATACGCATGAATTAATAAAATATAATATATATGTTATATATGTGTATA